GTGGTCTGCGCGAAGGGTTCTCAGAACCCTTCTTGCTGGGACTGTCTTGTTATAGCACAGCCGCTTTCTGTTCTAAGGATTTCCGTTGCTGGTAAAAACGTTGTGGGGTTCTACGAACATTGTGTGGCAGCCCTACAGCAGCCAGGCAGATATAGCGTCGGTCGAGGGGCGGATTGTCGTGGATCGGACATGCAGTTTCGCCCCCTGCTTCTGCCTGCTGGCCCGCCTCTCTCTTCCTCGCGCTCCTCTCCTTTTACCCTCGTGCCTCTCTTCGCTCCCAGTGCACCCCACCGCTTGCCGACCGGCGCCTGGCCGTCTTGGACCACCTGGCGCCAGCGGGTTGAAAGCAAGTGCCAGTTGGGGTTCGGGGTGACCGCGTGGTTTGGGTACTTGGGTCCTTCTGCGAGGATCCCAGACCCCCGACGTAATGATTTTTTCAATACGTCGACCCCCAGAGGTCCCGACCCTTTCCCCATGACCGGCTTTGCATCCTGAGTCGTTTTTTGACGCTCCCGAGGCCCGGTGAGGGCCCCCAGAGGCCGAAAAGTAGGAAAAACCTTCCATCATGATTTTTTCATTACTCGAGGGGGTCTGGGATGTCTCGGGCGGCTTGGGCCGCCGGGGTCCAAGACAACGTGCGGCGACCGACCGTGCGGTGGCGTCTCTCGCTGGGGATTCCGAGGCTACGGCGCGGTCTGTCACCGCTTCGGGCCTCCCAGGCCAGGGGCGACGTCGGTGGGTGGACTGCCCCGGGGGGAGCATCGACCCCGAATCGCCCATGCATCGCCGATCGTGGTCTGGGCCCCCTTCCCAGACCCCCTCGCGTCGTGACAAAAATCACGACGGGAGGTTTTTCGCTATTTTCGGCCTCCGGGGGCCCTCACCGGGCCTCGGGAGCGTCAAAAAACGACTCAGGATGAAAAGCCGGTCCCGGGGAAAGGGTCCAGACCTCTGGGGGTCGACGTTGTGAAAAAATCACGACGTCGGGGGTCTGGGTTTCTGGTCCAGGAACGCTGTGTTTCGTTATCGCTGGGGTGGAAGCCCTGGCCTGCCTCCCCGTCGGATCCGGTAGGGGTGGGGCACCCGCGCAGTCCTCGCCGAGCCCAGACTGCCGACGCCGTGCTTCATGTGAGAGCCCGGGGCAGCAGATGGGCCCCCGCCCCCAGGAGTCCCCCAAGGCTGGCCCTTGAGTCGGCCTCCTCCCCCATCCCTTTTCCCTGTGGACAGCTCTCCCATTTGGCCCCCTTCCCTCCCCCGCCTCTCCCCGTGTGCTGTGCCTCTGCCGTCTCCCTCGTTCCCGCCTGGCCTCGCCCTGCTTCCCCCTTCCTTCTCCCCCCCCTCCTCTATCCTCCTACGCTCCCCTCGCGCGCGCCCCACTTTATCTTGGCGCGAAAAGTTCCGCTCGGGCTTCTTTTCCGGGCATGGTCTCGATCTTCTCCCTCCTGCGCTGCTCCTCCGCGTCGAGGTCCTTGAGACCCGCACCAACCGCGGGCGCGCCGCCGGGCGTGGGGACCCCGCCTGCCCTCGCCTCTTCCCGTCCTCCTCGTCCTCCCAGCCGCCCCCCGTTCCTCCCCCCCCTCGCCCCCGCCTCCTCGCCGCTGCCGAATCGCCCCCGCCCGCATGGGGCGATTCGGCAGGGGCGCCCGGACGGCAGGCCGGCAGAGGGGCTGCGCAAGCCGCGCCCAGGCAGCCGGCCAGTCAGCCCGCCAGCGCCGCCGGGCCCGCCTCGGCCTCGGAGCGGGGAGCTCCGAGCAGGTCGCCGGGCTCCGCCGGACTCCCCGCACGGCGTCGGCGCGCCTCGGGTGTCCGAGCAGGCGGCGTCCAGCCGTCGGCGGCGTGGGCCCCCCCTGAGGGCCGACGACCGCTGTCTCGAGTGGCCATAATCTCCGATCTTAGAACGTTTTTGTTTTGCCCACCGCTTCCCCGGCGGGGCTGCCTGCATGGGGCTATAGGCCCCCCGCGCGGCACTCGCCAGCCTCGTGCTCGGGGGCCCTCCGACGGCCCCCCGACATCCGAGGCCCCGACCAGCACAAGTCCTTCGAGTGGCGCCCCGCCGATCGCTGATGCGGCGCGGCCGCGCCGGCTTGCGCGGCAGCGCTGGGCCCCCGCGGGCGCCCCTGAAGCCGCGCACCAAAGGTTACTCTAGCCTAGGGCCACTCGCAGATGTAGTCGACGTCGGGGGGGGGGGGGGGGGCAAGGGTGCAGAACAAAGGCCCCCGAGAAACACCCAGCTCTCACTGCGGGGCAGCCAGTGGCCCCCGCCCGCGCGGCACGCCATCGCCGTTTCCAGGCTGGGGGAACCGCTGGGTGGACCCCTCCCCTCCCCGAGGGCTCCAGGCCGGGCGCCCCCCGCGCCAGCGTCATGCGTAAGTTGGCCCCGGCGCCCCAGCGCCCGGCCTGCGCACATGTCCCGCGGTCGGCGACCCGATCGGGCGCGCGGCCCCGAAGGCGCGGGTCTCGTCAAGCCGAGCGGGGAGAAAGAAACGGAATGGGCGGAAGAGGAGAAGGGAGGAGGAGGAGGAGGAGGAGGAGCAGGAGGAGGAGGAGGAAAAGGAAGAAAAGGAGGAGGGGAGGAGGCGGAGGAGGAAGAGGAGGAGGAGGAAGAAGGAGGAAAGAGGAAGGATGCTGAGGGATGATGATGATGAGTTCTGATGATGATGATGATGATGATGATGATGCTGATGCTGATGCTGATGCTGATGATGATGATGATGATGATGATGATGATGATGATGATGATGATGATGATGATGATGTTTATGATGATGATGATGATGCTCATGATGATTATGATGATGATGAGGAGGAGGAGCAGGATGATGATGATGATGATGATGATGATGATGATGATGATGATGATGATGATGATGATGATGATGATGATGATGATGATGATGTGATGCTGATGATGGATGAGATGATGAGGATGAGGATGAGGAGGATGAGGATGAGGATGAGGATGAGGATGAGGATGAGGATGATGATGATGATGCTGCTGATGATGATGATGATGGAGGAGGAGGAGGAGGAGAAGGAGGAGGAGGAGGAGACGGAGGAGGAGGCGGCGGAGGAGGAGGCGGAGGAGGAGGAGGATGAGATGGAAGAGGGGGAGAGAGAGAAGGAGGAGGAGGAGGAGGAGGAGGAGGAGGAGGAGGAGGAGGAGGAGGAGGAGGAAGAGGGGGAGGAGGGGAGCAGGAGGGAAAGCAGAAGCAGCAGCAGGATCAGGAGGAGGGGAGGGAGATGGCCAGAGGAGGATTCTTGGTGGTCGCCGATGTGGACGAGCCCGCGGAGACAAGAGCGCCAGCGGGGAGGAGCACGGGAGGACCAGGCAGGGCCCGCGCCGCCCAGATTGCCGACGTCGTCCGGGACGTCCTCCGCTTCTGCGAGCAGTGCACCGACAGGCGCGTATGGCCACGGCGGGGCTTCCGGCTTGGGGGTGGCCCGCGATGGCGGGGAGCCCGAGCGGACATGTGGAGCCCTCGGCACCGGGGCCCCCCATGGAGCCCCCCAGACGCCCCCAAGAGCCCCCCAAGAGGCCCCAAGAGGCCCCCCCATGGAGCCCCCGAGACGCCTCCGAGACGCCCCCAAGAGGCCCCAAGAGGCCCCCAAGACGCCCCCAAGAGGCCCCCAAGAGCCCCAAAAAGAGGCCCCCCATGGAGCCCCCAAGACGCCCCCAAGAGGCCCCCCAGGGGCCCCAAGAGGCCCCCAGGAAGCCCCAGCATAAGAGTTGCTGGCTGCCAGGTGCTGACTGATACACACCGCCGCCCTCCCCTTATAAGCCCATGCGGCGGGGGCGTTTGTTTGCTACTTCAGGCCAGGCCCAGGAGGCTTCAGGCCCAGACCCCCTCGGGCGAAGACAAAATCATGACGTTTTTTTGTTCCCGTATCTTCGGCCTCGGGGGGCCCTCCGCCCGGCCCGGTCCCGGGGTGGGGTCGAAGCCTTTGGGGGCCGATGCTGTGCAAGAGTCATGGCGTCGGGGTTTGGGGGACCTTGGACGATCTACCTGTGGGGGTGGTCGTGGAAAACAGGCCCGTCTAAGGAGGGCCCGCAGCCAGCTGGGCCCAACCCGCCGGCCTCTGCCCCCGGCACCGTGCCACAGCCGCGGCGCAGAAGTGCGGCAGGGAGGCGCGGCCGCTCGCGCTTCCGCGCGCCCCGGCCGCGATGGAGGGGCCGGCCACGCTGGAGCAGACCAGGTGGTCGGATGCTCTTTTGATGTCGGGCACGTCCCTTTGCAGATCAGAACCCAGACGTGATCGCGTCGTGAAAAGATCAGGACGGGAGGTTTTGGGGTGTTTCGGCCCCGGGGGGCCTTCACTGGGCCTCGGGGCTATCAAGAAACGACTCAGGACGAAAAGCCGGTTCAGGGGAATGGGTCGGGGCTTCCAGGGACGCCGTCCTGAAAAATCAGAAGAAGCGCGTTCTACCGCTGCTGGCGGAAAGCCGAGGGAGGTCACTGGGGGTTCCCAACCCGCCTCCCCCGCTCGAAAACTGGGGGGAGGTCATTGGGGTCATTACCGGTTCGAACCCGCCCCCAGTCCATCATGAAAACGGGGGGGGGTCACTACCGCCGGTTCGAACCCCCCCCCCTCGGAAACCGGGGGGGGTCACTACCGGTTCGAACCCCCCCCCCTCCCTTCGCCGCCGGCAAACGATTCCCGCTCCTCGGGACACTTGGACAATGGTAGGGACGCTGGGACAGTGGTGGGAACGGTGGTGGTGGGGACAGTGGTGCGGGGACAGTGGGACAGTGGTGCAGACAGTGGTGGGGACGGTAGTGTTGGGGACACTGGTGAGGGGACAGCGGGACAGTGGTGGGGACAGTGGGGCAGTGGTGGGGACGGTAGTGGTGGGGACAACAGTGGTGAAGGCAGTGTTGAGGACAGTGGTGGGACAGTAGTACAGTGGGGAAAGGGGTGGGAACAGTGGGGGGAGTGGGACAGTGATGGGGACAGTGGGGACGGTGGGGCAGCACAGTGGGACAGCGGCGGGGACAGTGGGACAGTGGTGGGTGCAGTGGGGACAGTGGGACAGCGGTGAGGACCGTGGGGAAACTGGGGGGAGTGGGACAGTGGTGGGACAATGGTGGGGAGAGTGAGGACAGTGAGACACTGGTCGGGGCACTGGTGGGGACAGCGGGGACAATGGTGGGAACAGTGGTGACAGTGGGACGGTGGTGGGGACGGTGGTGGTGGGGACAGTGGTGTGGGGACAGTGGGAATGTGGTGGAAACAGTAGGACAGTGGAGGGTACAGTGGTGGCGGGGACAGTGATGAGGGCGGTGGCGAGGACGGCGGTGGGACAATGGGACGGAGGTACAGTGGGGACAGTGATGGGGACAGGAACAGTGGTGGGAACAGTGGGACAGCTCAGTGGGACAGCGGCGGGGACAGTGGGACAGTGGGGACAGTGGGACAGTGGATGGGGCCGTGGAGAAAGTGAGGAGAGTGTGACCGTGGTGGGAACAGTGGTGGGAACAGTGGTGGGGACAGTGGGGACAGTGCGACAGTGATGGGGGCACTGGTGGGGACAGTGGGGACGGTGGTGGGAACAGCGGGGACAGTGGTGGTGAGGACAGTGGTGCTGGGGACAGCAGTAGGGGATGTGGTGCGGACGGTGGTAGGGACCTGGGAGTCGTTTGCTGGCGGTGAGCGTGGGGGGGGTGGGGAGGGGTCCGAACCAGTAGTGACCCCTCTCCGTTTTCTGAAGGCGGGGGGGACGGGGGTTCGAACTGGTAGTGACCCCCCCCCCCCCCGTTTTCTGGAGGAGAGGGGGCGAGGGGTTCGAACTGGTAAACTTTCTGGTGGGGGGAGGGGTTCGAACCGGTAGTGGCCCCCCCCGGTTTTCCGGAGGGGGGGGGGGGGGGGTTCGAGCCGGTAGTGACCTCCTCCGGTTTTTTAGAGAGGGGGAGGGGGGGGGGTTGGGAGAGGGGGGGGGGGGATTTTTGCCGGGGGGAAGGGGGTGTGGGGGTTCCAGTGGGGGGGGGGTTTTCGGAGGGGGGGGACCTCCAGGTTCAGGAGGAAGAGGGGGCGGAGTTTTCCACAGTACAGCGGCGGTGGATCACGCTCTCTCAAAAATCAGGACGTCGCACGTCTGGGAAGCAGTCTGGGTTAGAAAGTCCAGGGTTCGTTAGGGTTTGGTTTCCGGTCCAATTGGCAGAAGTCATCCGAAAACCTTCCGAAAACCATCCGGGAAGGGTTCCAGCGGATTTTCGGAGGGTTCCAGGGGGAGTGGGACTGGTTTTCGTTGGGGGGAAGCCAGTCCCTAGCAAACCTTGGGGTTGCTAAAGTCTTGGGGCGATGGATCGATTATGTTGCGGCTGCTTTTGAACATGTCTTGCTAATGTCTTACTTTTCTTCACTCCGCCTGTAGGAGGACCTGCCCGACCCAATGCTCGTTTGGGGGACCTTCCTGGAGCCTGCTTAACTCGAGGAACAAACATCTGCATAAAGGCATACACCTTAGGCGATGCTTAAGAAAACTTAAGTTTTCGGCCAGAGTCTCGATTAATCTTAACGTTTCAGTGTAAATCCTAAGTTTTTAATAGAAATGTTGGGTTTGTATTCAAGATCTGAGACTATGAATTTCTTAACCCATGATTTCTTAAGCATTTCGCAGGGTGTACATATACTTTCTCGGAGGTCCGCACGGATTCCACGGATCAGCGCTGGACCCCCCTGGCGGCGCCTCCGACGACGCCCCGGCCTCTTGGGCGATCTCTCGGCGATCTTTGGGGGCTCGTGGGCCGTCTCGGGCAGTCGGAAGGCCGAAAAGAAGGAAATGGCAAATCCGTCAAAAACCTTAGGAAAATAACTGTTTTTGGCCTCTTCTGGCCTTCCTGGAGGCCCTCTTGGGGGCCTCTTGGGCCGTCTTGGGCCAGCTCCGAGCCAACTTCGGCCATCTCGGTGGGTTCCTGGCACGTCTGACGCCGTCGGGAGCCGTCTTGGGGGGGGGCCTCCAGCAAGGCCAGAAGAGGCCAACAACCTAGACTTTCCTAAGGTTGTTGACGGATTTTGACATTTCCTTCTTTTCGGCCTTCCGACGGCCCGAGACGGCCCAAGAGCCCCCAAAGGTCGCCGAAAGATCGCCCAAGAGGCCTCCAAGATGGCCCCAGAACGGCCCAAGAGGGCCTCAAGACGGGCCCAAGAGGCCCCCAAGACGGCACAGGAGGCCTTTAAGACGCCCAAGATGGCCTCCAAGACGGCCCTGGAGCATTCCAAGAGGGCCCCAAGTCTGCCCATAGAGGCTGTCGATTCATCGCAGGGGTGCCTGGCGTGCTGAACCCTCTCGGTTTTGGTTTTGGTTTTTTTCCAAAAGAACTCCCCAGTGGGCCGTCCCGCCGGCCACCCGGAAACTGCATCAGTCAATGCCTGAAACGGCCGTTTCGCTCGGGACATCCTCAAAAAATCGCGAAGATGGCCCAAGATGGCCTCCAAGTCCGCCCAAGATGATCCAAGACGGCCTCCAAGACGGCCCAAGAGAGTCCAAGACGGCCCAAGACGGCCCAAGAGGCCCCCCAGAGGCCTCCCAGACGGCCCAAGAGGCCTCCAAGAGGTCCTCCAGGAGGGCCCGAAGAGGCCAAAATCATGTATTCTCCTTAGGTATTGGAAGGATTTGGGAATGTGCTTCTTCTCAGCATTCCGACGGCTCAAGACGGCCCAAGAGGCCCCCAAGATCGCCCAAGAGGCCCCAAGAGGGCCCCATGACGGCCCAAGTGGCCTCCAAGACGGCCTCAAGAGGGCCCCAAGATGACCCAAGAGGCTTCCAACACGGCCAAGATGGCCTCCAAGACGCCCAAGATGGCCTCCAAGACGCCCCAAGAGGGCCCCCAGTCGGCCCAGAAAGGCCCCCAAGACGGCTCCCGACGGCGTCAGACGTACCAGGAACCCACCAAGATGGCCGAAGATGGCTCGGAGCTGGCCCAAGTCGGCCCAAGAGGCCCCCAATGGGGCCTCCAGGAAGGCCAGAAGAGGCCAAAAACAGTTATTGTCCTAAGGTTTTTGACTGATTTTGACATTTCCTTCTTTTCGGCCTTCCGACGGCCCGAGACGGCTCAAGTGTCCCCCAGACACGGCCCTAAGAGGCCCCCAAGATGGCCCAAGAGGTCTCCAAGACGCTCAAGATGGCCTCCAAGATGGCCCAAGAGCCCTCCAAGACGTCCTCCAAGAAGGCCCGAAAGGGTCAAAATGGCCTCCAGACGGCCAAGATGACCTTTAAGATGCCCACGTGCTCCCCGAAGGCTTTCCAAACCGATTCGGGGAACACATGGTCCGATAGCTTGGCAGGTCTGGCCTCAACGTTCGGCCACGTAGGCGCTTCCCAAAAGGCAGGGGGGGCCTCTTGGGCCGTCTTGGGCCAGCGTCGAGCCAACTTCGGCCATCTTGGTGGGTTCCTGGTACGTCTGACACCGTCGGGAGCCGTCTTGGGGGCCTTTCTGGGCCGACTGGGGGCCCTTTTGAGGCGCTTCGGGGCCGGCTTGGAGGCCATCTTGGGCGTCTTGGAGGCCACCTTGGGCGTGTTGGAGGCCTCTTGGGCAGTATTGGGGCCCTCTTGGGGCCGTCTTGGAGGCCACTTGGGCCGTCATGGGGCCCTCTTGGGGCCTCTTGGGCGATCTTGGGGGCCTCTTGGGCCGTCTTGAGCCGTCGGAATGCTGAGAAGAAGCACATCCCCCAAATCTTTCAAAAACCTGTGGAAAATAACTGATTTTGGTCTCTTTGGGCCCTCCTGGAGGACCTTTTGGAGGCCTCTTGGGCCGTCTGGGAGGCCTCTGGGGGGCCTCTTGGGCCGTCTTGGACTCTCTTGGGCCGTCTTGGAGGCCGTCTTGGACCATCTCGGGCGGACTTGGAGGTCATCTTGGGCCATCTTCGCGATTTTCACGGCCGTTTTTGGCATTGACTGATGCAGTTTCGGGGTGGCCGGGGGGACGGGCCGGAGCCCCAGGGGGAGTTCTTTTTGGAAAAGAGCCCAAACCTAGAGGCCGCCCCCTGACTTTTTGGAAGCGCCTATGTGGCCGAACGTTGAGGCCAGACCTGCCAAGCTATCGGACCATGTGTTCCCCGAATCGGTTTGGAAAGCCTTCGGGGAGCACGTGGGCAACTTAAAGGTCATCTTGGCCGTCTGGAGGCCATTTTGACCCTTTCGGGCCTTCTTGGAGGACATCTTGGAGGGCTCTTGGACCGTCTTGCAGGCCATCTTGAGCGTCTTGGAGACCTCTTGGGCCGTCTTGGGGGCCTCTTGGGGCCGTGTCTTGGGCCTCTTGGGCGATCTTTGGGGACACTTGGGCCGTCTCGGGCCGTCGGAAGGCAGAAAAAAGCAAATGCCACAATCCTTCAAAAACCATTGGGAAATCAATGATTTGGGCCTTGTCGGGCCTTCCTGGAGGCCCTCTTGGAGGCCGTCTTGGGCCGTCTTGGGCCATCTTAGGGCCATGTTCGGCCGTCTTGGTGGGCTCCGGATCCGTCTGACGCCGTCGGGAGCCGTTTGGGGGGCCTCTATGGGCCGACTTGGGGCCCTCTTGGAATGCTCCGGTGCCGTCTTGGAGGCCATCTTGGGCGTCTGAAAGGCCTCCTGTGCCGTCCGGGGGGCCTCTTGGGGCCGTCTTGGGGCCCTCTTGGGTTCTCTGGGCCGACTGGGAGCCCTCTTCGGGCGCTTCGGGGCCGTGTTGAAGGCCATCTTGGGCGTCTTGAAGGCCATCGTGGGCGTCTTGGAGGCCTCTTGGGCCGTCTTCGGGCACTCTTGGGGCCGTCGTGGGAGCCTCTTGGGCCGTCATGGGGCGATCTTGGAGGCCTCTTGGGCGATCTTGGGAGCCTCTTGGGCCGTCTTGGCCCGTCGGATAGCAGAAAAGGCGCAAATTCCAAAATCCTTCAAAAACCTAAGGAAAATCAATGAGTTTGGCCTCTTCGGGCCTTCCTGGAGGACCTCTTGGAAGTCTCTTGGGCCGTCTTGGAGGCCTCTTGCAGGCCTCTTGGGCCGTCTTGGGCCGTCTTGGACTCTCGTGGGCCGTCGTGGAGGCCGTCTTGGACCATCTTGGGCGGACTTGGAGGCCATCTTGGGCCATCTTCGCGATTGTTCCAGGATGTCCCGAGCGAAACTGCCGTTTCTGGCATCGACGGACGCGCTTTACGGGTGGCCGGCGGGACGTGCCGGAGCCCCAGGGGGAGTTCTTTTGGAAAAAGAACCAGAACCAAACCCTGAGAAGTCCAGCACGCCAGGCACCCCTGCGATGAATCGACAGGGGGCTGCGGATCGAAGACGCCTACGGCGAATCACCGCCGCCCCCTGCCTTTTTGGAAACGCCGATGTGGCCGAAAGTTGGACTAGAGCTTGGCCAAGCTATCGGACCATGAGTTCCCCGAGTCGGTTTGGAAAGCTTTCGGGGAACACATGGGAGAGAATGATTATGAACAGGAAGAGGAAGAGGAAGAAATAGAGTAGGAGGATGAGGGTTGTTAGGAGTCTCTTGGGGCACCCTTGGGGTCTGTTGGGGGCTTCTTGGGGGCCTCTTCGAGGCCTCTTGGAGGCATCTTGGGGGCCTCCTTGGGCCTCTTGGGGGCCTTTGGGGGCTTCCTGGGGGTCTCTTTGGCCGTCTTAGGGCGTTCCTGGTCCGTCTGACGCCGTCTGGAGCCGTCTTGGGGGCCTCTCTGGGCCGTCTTGGGGCCCTCTTGGGGCGCTTCAGGGCCGTCTTGGAGGCCATGTTGGGCGTCTTGGAGGCCTCTTGGGCCGTCTTGGGGCGCTCTTGGGGCCGTCTTGGGGGGCCCTTGGGCCGTCATAGGGCCTTCTTGGAGGCCTCTTGGGCGATCTTGGGGGCCTCTTGGGCCGTCGGAAGGCCGAAAAGAAGAAAACGCAAAAAACCTTCAAAAACCTAAGGAAAACCAATGATTTTGGCCTCTTCGGGCTCTCCTGGAGAACGTCTTGGAGGCCTCTTGGGCCATCTTGGAGGCATCTTGGGGCCATCTTGGCCGTCTTGGAGGGCATCTTGGGCCGTCTTGGAGGCATCTTGGAGCCATCTTACCCGTCTTGGAGGCCATCTTGGCCGTCTTGGAGGCATCTTGGAGGCCATCTTGGGCCATCTTGGCCGTCTTGGAGGCCATCTTGGGCCAAGTTGGGGCAACAAAGGCATTGACAGACGGATTTTCGGAAACTTGCGGGTGGCCGGCGGGACGGGCCGAAGCCCACTGGGGAGTTCTTTTAGAAAAAGAACCAAAACCAAAACCTGAAACATCCAGCACGCCGTGCACCCCTGTGGCAAGACCACAGGGGGCGGCGGATCGAAGACGCCTACGGCGAATCACCGCCGCCCCCTGCCTTTTTGGAAGCGCCTATGTGGCCGAACGTTGAGGCCAGACCTGCCAAGCTATCGGACCACGTGTTCCCCGAATCGGTTTGGAAAGCCTTCGGGGAACACGTGGGCATCTTGAAGGTCATCTTGGCCGTCTTGGAGGCCTCTTGGGCAAGCTTTGGGCGATCTTTGGGGCTTTTTGGGCCGTCTCGGGCCAGCTTCGAGCCAACTTCGGCCATCTTGGTGGGTTCCTGGCACGTCTGAAGCCGTCGGAAGCCGTTTGGGGGGCCTCTATGGGCCGACTTGGGGCCCGCTTGGAATGCTCCAGGGCCGTCTTGGAGGCCATCTTGGGCGTCTGGGAGGCCATCTTGGGCGTGTTGGAGGCCTCTTGGGCCCTCTTGGGGCCCTCTAGGGGCCATCTTGGAGGCCACTTGGGCCATCATGGGGCTCTCTTGGGGGCCTCTTGGGCGATCTTGGGGGCTTCTTGGGCCGTCTCGAGCCGTCGGAGAGCCGAAAAGGCGCAAATGCCAGAATCCTTCAAAAACCAATGAAAAATCAATGATTTTGGCCTCTTCGGACTCTCCTGGAGGACCTCTTGGAGGCCTCTTGGGCCGTCTGGGAGGCCTCTGGGGGGCCTCTTGGGCCGTCTTGGGCCGTCTTGGACTCTCTTGGGCCGTTTTGGAGGCCGTCTTGGACCATCTTGGGCGGACTTGGAGGCCATCTTGGGCCATCTTCGCGATTTTTTGAGGATGTCCCGAGCGAAACGGCCGTTCTTGGAGGATTTTTTCCGGTCGTTGAGCACGTTTGGGGGCTTTCCGGGTGGCCGGCGGGTTCTGCCGGAGCCCACTGGGAAGTTCTTTTGGAAAAAGAACCAAAACCGAAACCTGAAACGTCCAGCACGCCGTGCACCCCTGCAAGCAGGGGGCGGCGGATCCCAGTGGCCTTCGGCCCATGCCGCCACCGTGCCTGGGTTACGGGTCTGAGGCCTCTTGCATATGTGTTGGGGTGTCGTGGGGACCCTCTCGGGGGCCTCTTGGAGGCGGTTTGGGCTTGGCGGCTCTTGGAGCCTCGTGGGGTATCTTTTGGGCGTCTTGGAGGCCTCTTGGGCGCGTCTTGGGCGCCTCTTGGAGCCTCCTGTGGCCTCTTGGCGGCCTCTTGGGGCCTCCTGGGGGCTACTCGGGGCCTCGGGAGCTCGAATGTGGCTTTATTTAGGTGGGAGCGTGGCCCTGGGAGAGCGAATGTGGTGTACTTTACGGGAGATCGTGGCCTCGGGGGGCGCGAATGCGGCGTAATTTAGAAGGGATCGTAGCTTCGGGGGCGCGATTGTGGGGTAATTTACGGGGGATCGTGGCCCCAGAGGCGAGAATGTTATGTAATAGACAGGGGATCGTGGCCTCAGGAGCGCAAACATGGTGCATTTCACTAGGGATCGTGGCTTCGGGGACGCGAGTATATTGCAATGTACGGCGGATTTTGGCCTCGGAGGGCGCGAATACTGTGTTGTTTACGAGGGACTATTGCGTTGGGAGCGCGAATGTAGTGTATTTGTAAGTGTCCCAGCGCTCCCCGGAAATTCAGAGCACGCGATTCGGCGGTGCTAAAAGAGGTGGTTTTCGGATGCCCCCTTTGCGCGGCAGTAGCAGTTTACAGTACGGACTGTAACATTGGAAACTGGAACTGGTGCAGGGAGCAGCGAACTCAATCCTCGCAGCCTGATGGCCCCGCAAGGGGGCCAGCGGACATGTTTCTGCAATTGTTTGTTCCTCTATCGAGAAATCGCGACGTGATAGTTTTGGCAGTTTTCCGGCCCTCGGGGGGCCTCGCAGGGCCCCCAGACCGTCCACAAACGATTCGGGGCGAAAAGCCAGCCCTGGGGGAAAGGGTCGGGACTTCCAGGGACCCGGTATGAAAAGTTCCAGGCATCGCATGCACGGGGTGTTGGATGCTCGGTCGGGGGACCACCTTGGAGCCGCCTGACGGATCTGTCTGACACTGGTTCAATTCGGTATCTCGACTCCGCTTCGGCTGCAGCTGGACTGACGTGCGACTCACGTCAGCGGACGTTCGACGCAACCTTCACACGCGAGTGGTGGCTACAGGGAAGCCCCCAGAACGAGCATCTAGAAAGGTGGTCTGAGGCGCCCGAGATGTTGGAGGCGCGGGCGACGCAGCAGGGCCCCGCTCCCGGCGGGAGCTTGCAGAGCAAGATGCCGATGTGGAGCTCGTCACCCGGGCTCGAGGGGGCCTCGGAGAGGGAGCTCGACGTCGCGTCGTCGCAGGCCGGACGGGGCAAGGACGAGGACAAATCCGTCCCAGAGCCCTCACCGGGCCTCTGGGGGCCCTCGCCGGGCCTCGGGGGCGTCCAAAAACGACTCGGGACGACAAACCGGCCCCAGGGAAGTGGTCCGGACCGCCGGGGCCCGCACATGGAAGAGACGGATGTCTGGGGAGGAAAGGGTGCCCATGTATCGGACGGGGCCAGGACGAGGATAAGACCGTTCCGGCGCTTTCTGGAGCGCTCCCAGAGCTTTCTGGAACGCTCCGAGAAAGCCGCGGCGCCCCAGATATCCTCCAGATCCGCCGGACCTCAGAGATTCTCGATGGTACCCTCCTCCGATGTTGTCCTCGTCCTTCTTACCAGCTTGAAGCAAGCCCCCAGTTATCCCTATGCTTGGCATCACCTTACATCGGTGCCGATCTTGAGGGACCCCACAGTCTCTGAGGCCACACCCCTGAGACTGCCACCGTGCTTGGCCTGCCGATCTCAGGGATGGGGATACCCATCCGTCGTTGAAAGGGGGTATCTCTTGATCCCCAGATCCCAATCTACTTTGGGCGCCTTGCCCCTTCAGCCACCGAGCGCACTTCCCTTAGCCCTTAGCCCTTAGGGGGCGGGCGGAGACCCAATCTGCTCTCGACCCCGCTCCTCCCGACGGGCGGGTACGCCCGAGTCTGCTCCGTCCCGCCCCTCCGCCTCGCAGGAGGACCTCCTCGGCGGCATGCGCGGCACGCGGAGGCGCCGAGAAGGGGGGGGGGGGACGAGGACGAGCGGCACGTGCGGTGCGGCACGCGGGGTCCGAGGGGGGCGAAGGGAGGGGGGAGGGGGGCGGGGAGAGCGACGGTGGTGGTGGTGGTGGTCGTCGGCGCCGCCGCCGTCGCCGCCGCCGCCGCCGCCGCGAGGGAGGGGGCACGGCCGGTGGGCCCCCCCGGGGAGGCCCCGGGCCGCTCTCCCCGCGGCGCCGCTGGGCGGCCCCGCCGCGGCCGCGCTCCTGGCGTGCCTCTTCGCGCTCGGCGCCGGCGCCGGCCTGCTGGCCGGCCGGCGGCCCGCCCCGCGGGGGGCCCGCGGCGGCGTGAGCCTGGCGCTGGGCGACCTGTCCTCCCAGGAGGACTCGTCGCGCAGATCCAGTGGCCGGCCCAGAGGTCGGCACCGGCACCCGTCTCGGCGGAGGTTCCTCCACCGAGGGGAGGGGATGCCGATCTCGGTGGTGGTGGTAGTGGTGGTCGGGCTTCCTGGGTGACCGAGATATTTCCACCAGCACCGGAATCTGGGACCGTCTCCCCCCTGTGGATGCAGCCCCCCGTCTTGGTGTTGGTGCTTATTTCCAGGCCTCCAATCCAGGCCTCCCAGACAGGGTCCAAGTATTAGATGGGGTCGTAGGATCGCGCCACATCGCCGATGCATCGACGATGCGGCTCGATGAGGAGCCCGTGTTTCCCCACGTCGACGTCGCCGATGCATCGCCGGCGTCGCCTATGCATCGCCGAGCATCGACGATGCATCGGCGATGCATTGGCGATGCGGCTCGAGCCTTCGACCCCATCTAGGAGGACCCCCTCTATGAGGCCTCTATCAGAGAGCTCAGAGATCCGACGCTCCCAGAACACTGGAGCGAGCCGTTTTGGGCAGGGTTCGGCCTCTGGGGGCCCTCGCCGGGCCTCGGGGGCGTCCAAAAACGGCTCGGGACGACGAGCCGGCCCCAGGGAGGTGGTCGGGACCGCCGGGGCCCGCGCATGGAAAAGATTGGAGCAGCCGGATGTCTGGGGAGGAAAGGGTGCCCATATTGGGCGGGGCTAGGACGAGGATAAGACCGTTCCAGAGCGTTCTGGGACGCTCTCGGAGCGTTCCACAACGCTCTGAGGAGGCCACGGCGCCCGAGGCATCCTCCAGATCCACCAGATCTGAGAGATTCTCGATTCATCCTCACCCGATGTTATCCTCGTCCTGGCTTCGTTTTTCCCCATACCGCTACCCTTCCAACGTTTTCGCCTTTTTGAGGGTCTCCTGGAGGCCTTGTCGCCACCGCTGGATTCGCCTCGAGATCCTGTTAAGAGCGCACCTCAGGAGAGGTCTGGGGAGTAGCGGCATCGGTTCCTCTTGGTTTCCCCACTAGCGGGCGACGAAGGTCTACAAGAGAATTGTTTCGTTATCGGGAGTGCCTGCCCCAGGGCGGCTGGGAAGTTTATCCCCCTGCGGTGGCAGGAAGGGGTGGCAGCTTGACAGCCGCCCTGGGACTCTCAGGGACAGAGCCCCCGACCGAGGCAACGCGTCTGTCCTGCCCTCCTTCGCCCGCAAGAGGACGGGGGGCGCAACGCGTCCCTCTCCCAGAGGGCGCTCGTGGGCCAGGCGTTCGTCCACCTCTCCGCGGAGGATGCCGGCATGATGGTCGAGGACCACATGCTCGTCCTGGAGCCGGGGACCGCGCTCGAGGACCTCCACAGGATCGAGCGGGTCTACGCAGAGACCGGCACCCTGCGCCTGTACAGCGGCCTCCAGTTCTCGCACCCGGCGGGCGCGACGGTGGCCTCGCTGCCGCCCACGGACGACATCTTGGCGGAGCACGACGCCACGGAGACGGCCCAGTTCGCGCGCTTCACGAGGCCCGTGAAGTCTGCCGAGCCGGCGGGCAGCACCGTTCTCACGATGGAAGAGGGCTGCGGCGATTTCGACATGGGGGACAAGATCGAGCTGTCCAGCGAAGAGGGGCACTACGAGATGAACATGATCACCAGCATCACTGCGAGTGCTGCCGATGGTGACTGCGAGTTCCACCTGGCCTACCCCCTGCACTACGAGCACAGCGCCACCTCTGCTGTATCCAAGATGGTCCCCAAGGACGCGCTTCTTCTCCACACGCCGGCGCCGACGCCGGTGCCGACGCCGGTTCCGCCGCCGACACCGAAGGCGCCGGCCGCGTCGTTCGTCGTCAGCAACGTCGACTTCGGCGGGCTCGGCTCGCCCGACATCGAGCGGCTGCAGAGCGCGTGCCGGGAGAAGATCGCCGCAGCGGCGGGCGTGGACGCCGCGGAGGTGGCTGTCGTCCTCGCGCAGGGCTCCGTGCTCGTGGACGTGTTCAGCCCGAAGAAGGGGAGCGCGGCAGAAGCATAAACTTTCGGAGCTCCGCGCGGCTTTCTTGGATCTGAGCTGGGCCCCTGGCGGCGCCTGCGGCGCCGCCCCTGGCGCACTCGGCGCGCCGGGGAAGGGGGTCAGGCGCAGATCCAAGAAGTTCTCGCGGACCCACGGAAGTTCATGCTTATGCAGTGTCTTCTTCCTCTATCGAAGACGCCTACGGCGAATCACCGCCACCCCTTGCCTTTTTGGAAGCGCGTCTGTGGCCGACAGCTGGGCCAGAGCTTGGCCAAGCTATCGGGCCAGTTGTTCCCCGAGTCGGTTTGGAAAGACTTCGGGAACGCGTGGGGGAGCAAGAAGAGGAGGAGGGGGAGGATGAGGTAAAATGAGGAGGAGGAGGAGGAGGAGGAGGGGGAGGAGGAGGAGGAGGAGGAGGAGGAGGAGGAGGACGAGGAGGAGGCCTCTTGGGCGCCTCTTGGGGCACTATTGGGGCCTCCTGGGAGCTTCCTGAGGGCCTCTTGGAGGGTTTTGTGGGGTCTTTGTTTGGGGTGTTCTTGGGGGCCTCTTTTGGCCATCTTTGGGCGTTACTGGCTTGTCTGACGCTATCTGAAGCCGTCTTGGGGGCTTGTCCGGATCGTCTTGGGGCCCCCATGGGGCATATCAGAGGTTCTTAGAGGCCATCTTGGGCGTCCTGGAAGCCTCTTGGGCCGTTTTGGGGCCCTCTTGGGGCTGTCTTGCGGGCCTTCGGGGCCGTCCTGGGGCCATCTTGGAGGCCTCTTCGGCGATCTCGGGGGCTTCTTGGGCCGTCTTTAGCCGTCGGAATGCCGAGAAGAAGCAAATGCAAAAGTCCTTCAACAACTTAGGGAAACTCAATGATTTTGCCCTCTTCGGAGCCTCCTGGAAGACCTCCTGAGCCTCCTGGAAGACTTCCTGGACGCCTTTTGGGCCGTCTCGGAGGCCTCTTGGGGCCATCTTAGCCATCTTGGAGGCCATCTTGGCTGTCTTGGACGCCTCCTGGGCCCTCTTGGGGCCGTCTTGGGGGCCTCTTGGGCCGTCATCGGGCCATCTTGGAGGCCTCGTGGGCGATCTTGGCGGCCTCTTGGGCCGTCTTGAGCCGTCGGGATGCCGAAAAGAAGCAAATGCACAAATCCTTCAACAACCTAAGACAAATCAATGAGTTTGCCCTCTTCGGGCCCTCCTGGAGGACCGCTTGGAGGCCTCTTGGGCCGTCTTGGAGTCCTCTTGGGGGCCTCTTGGGCCGTCTTGGGCCATCTTGAGGCCACCTTAGGCCGTCGTGGGTGAATCTTGGGCCGTCTTGGAGGCATCTTGGGGCCATCGTTGCCGTCTTGGAGGCCATCTTGGGCGTCTTGGAGACCTCTCGGGCTGTCTTGGCGCCCTCTTGGGAGCATCTTGGGAGCCTCTTGGGCCGTCATGGGGCCATCTTGGAGGCCTCGTGGGCGATCTTGGAGCGATCTCGGGGGCCTCCTGGGCCGTCTTGGGCCGTCGGAAAGCCGAAAAGGCGCAAATACCAAAATTCTCCAAAAACATTGGAAAATCAATGATTTTGCCATCTTTGGGCCCTCCTGGAAGACCGCTTGGAGGCCTCTTGGGCCGTTTTGGAGGCCTCTTGGGGGCCTCTTGGGCCGTCTTAGGCCATCTGGAGGCCATCTCAGGCCGTCTTGGGCGCATGTTGGACCGTCTTGGAGGCATCTTGGGGCCATCGTTGCCGTCTTGGAGGCCATCTTGGGCGTTTTGGAGGCCATCTTGGGCCGTCTTGGGGCCGTCTGGACAGGAAAAACCTTTTGTAGCCTTGTCTGGGCAATCTTCCCGGGACCCGGCAGGCCCAGGGGGAGTTCTTTTGGAAAAAAACAAAGCCAAAGCCAAAACCGAAAGGATTCAGCACGCAAGGCACCCCTGCGATGAATCGACAGGGGGCGGCGGATCGAAGACGCCTACGGCGAATCACCGCCGCCCCCTGCCTTTTTGGAAGCGCCCATGTGGCCGAACGTTGAGGCCAGACTTGCCAAGCTATCGGACCATGTGTTCCCCGAATCGGTGTGGAAAGCCTTCGGGGAGCACGTGGGCATCTTGAAGGTTCTCCTGGCCGCCTGGAGGCCATTTTGACATTTTCGGGCCTTCTTGGAGGACGTTTTGGAGGGCTCTTGGGCCGTCTTGGAGGCCATCTTGAGCGTCTTGGAGGCCTCTTGGGCCGTCTTGGGGGGCCCTTGGGGCCGTCTTGTGCCTCTGGGGCTCTTGGGCCGTCTCGGGCCGTCGGAAGGCCGAAAAAGGTAAATGCCACAATCCTTCAAAAACTCATGGGAAATCAATGATTTTGGCCTTTTTCGGGCCTTCCTGGAGGCCCTCTTGGAGGCCTCTTGGGCCGTCTTGGGCCATCTTAGGGCCATGTTCGGCCGTCTTGGTGGGCTCCTGGTCCGTCTGACGCAGTCGGAAGCCGTTTGGGAGGCCTCTCTGATCTGACTGGGGGTCCTCTTGTAATGCTCCAGGGCCGTCTTGGAGGCCATCTTGGGCGTCTTAAAAACCTCCTGTGCCGTCTTGGGGGCCTCTTGGGGCCGTCTTGGGGGCCTCTGGGGCCGTTCTGGGCCATCTTGGAGGCATCTTGGACGATCTTTGGGCGATCTTTGGACGATCTTGGGCCGTCTCTCGGGCCGTCGGAAGGCCGAAAAGAAGCAAGTGTCAAAATCCGTCAAAAACCTTAGGAGTATCAGTGTTTTTGGTCTTTCCTGGCCTTCCTGGAGGCCCTCTTGGAGGCCTCTTGGGCAGTCTTTGGCCAGCTTCGAGCCAACTTCGGCCATCTTGGTGGGTTCCTGGAACGCCGTCGGGAGCCGTCTTGGGGGCCTCTCTGAACCGACTTGGTTGGGATCCTCTTGGGGCGCTTCGGGGCCGTCTTGGATGCCATCTTGGGCGTCTTGGAGGTCTCTTGGGTCGTCGTGGGGCCCTCTTGGGGCCGTCTTGGAGACCTCTTGGGCCGTCATGGGGCCCTCTTGGAGGCCTCGTGGGCGATGGTGGGGAGATCTCGGGGGCCTCCTGGGCCGTCTTGAGCCGTCGGAATGCCGAGAAGAGGTAAATGCCAAAATCCTTCAAAAACCTATGGGGAATCGATCATTTTGGCCTCTGTGGGCCCTCCTGGAGCACCTCTTGGAGGCCTCTTGGGCCGTATTGAGGCCTGTTGGGCCGTCTTGGGCCATCTTGAGGCTATCTTACGCCATCTTGGGTACATCTTGGGCCGTCTTGGAGGCATCTTGGGGCCATCTTAGCCGTCTTGGAGGCCATCTTGGCCGTCTGGGATGCATCTTGGAGGCCATCTTGGGCCGTCGTGGAGCCGTCTGGACCAGGAAAAACCTTTTTGATCCGGGCCCGGGCAAATTTTTGGCATTCTTTCGGGTGGCTGGCGGGACGCGCCGGAGCTTCAGGGAGAGTTCTTTTGAAAAAGAACCAACTCCAAAAACGATAGGATTCAGCACGCCAGGCACCCCTTTGATAAATCAAAAGGGGGCGGCGGATCGCAGACGCCTGCGGCGAATCACCGCCGCCCCCTGACTTTTTGGAAGCGCCTATGTGGCCGAACGTTGAGGCCAGATTTGCCAAGCTATCGGACCATGTGTTCCCCGAATCGGTTTGGAAAGCCTTCGGGGAACACGTGGGCATCTTGAAGGTCCTCTTGGCCGTCTGGAGGCCATTTTGACCCTTTCGGGCCTTCTTGGAGGACGTCTTGGAGGGCTCTTGGGCCGTCTTGGAGGCCATCTTGAGCGTCTTGGAGACCTCTTGGGCCGTCTTGGGGGCCTCTTGGGGCCGTGTCTTGGGCCTCTTGGGCGATCTTTGGGGGCATTTGGGCCGTCTCGGGCCGTCGGAAGGCAGAAATAAGCAAATGCCACAGTCCTTTGAAAACCCACGTGAAATCAAGGATTTTCCCCTTTTCGGACCCTCCTGGAGGCCCTCTTGGAGGCCTCTTGGGCCGTCTTGGGCCATCTTAGGGCCATGTTCGGCCGTCTTGGTGGGCTCCTGGTCCGCCTGACGCCGTCGGAAGCTGTTCGGGCGGCCTCTAGGGGCCGCCTTGGGGCCCTCTTGGAATGCTCCAGGGCCGTCTTGGAGGCCATATTGGGCGTCTTACAGGCCTCCTGTGCCGTCTTGGGGTCCTCTAGGGGCCGTCTTGGGGCCCTCTTGGCGTTCAGGGGCCATCTTGGAGGCCTCTTGGGCGATCTTTCGGCGATCTTTGGGGGCTCTTGGGCCGTCTCGGGCCGTCGGAAGGCCGAAAAGACGCACATGTCAAAATCCGTCAAAAACCTCAGGAACATCTATGTTTTTGGCTTCTTCGGGCCTTCCTGGAGGCCCTCTTGGGGGCCTCTTGGGCCATCTTGGGCCAGCTTCGAGCCAACTTCGGCCATCTTGGTGGGTTCCTGGCACGTCTGACGCCGTCGGGAGCCGTCTTGGGTGAATTTTTGGGCCGACTTGGGGCCCTCTTGGGGCGCTTCGGGGCCGTCTTGGAGGCCATCTTGGCAGTCTTAGAAGCCGTATTGGGCGTGTTGGAGGCCTCTTGGGCCGTCTTGGTGCCCTCTTGGGGCCGTCTTGGAGGCCTCTTGGGCCGTCATGGGGCCCTCTTGTAGGCCTCGTGGGCGATCTTGGGGCGATCTTCGGGTCCTCTATGGGCCGACTTGAGCCGTCGGAATGCCGTTAAAAACAGCGTGTCGCTCGAGACGTCATCGGAAAACGCTTCTTGGGCGCTTCTTGGGCCGTCTTAGGCGCCTAAGACAGCCCAAGAAGCGGCCAAGGCAGCGCCCAAGACGGCCCAAGACGGCCCAAGAAGCGCCCAAGACGGCCCAAGAGCGCTCCAAGAGAGCCCAAGACCGCCCAAGGCGGCCCCCAGACGTCCCAAGAGGCCTCCACGACGCCCCAGGAGGCGCCCACGAGGCGTCCCAAGAGGGCCCCAAGAGGCCAAAATCATTGATTTTCTGAAGGAAAACTTACCTTTCTAGCATATACGGCTTTTCGCTTTTCATGGCGTTGAAGACGGTCCAAGAGGCCCCAAAGACCGCCCCAAGACGGCCCAAGATGTTCCCAAGAGGCCCCCAAAATTGCCCAAGAGGGCGCCAAGACGGGCCAAGAGGCGTCCAAGACTGTCCAAGAGGCCCCCAAGAGCGCCCCAAGAAGGCCCAAGAGGCCCCCAAGAAGGCACCAAAACGGCCCAAGAGGGCGCCAAGACGGCCCAAGAGGCGCCAAGACGGCCCAAAGACGGCCAAAGGCAGCGTAGTCCCTTCACCCCCGCAGCCCAGAAGCTCCCAGGAGGCCCCAAGAGGCCCCCGAAAAGCCCCAAAAGGTCCCCAAGAGGCACCGAAGAGGCTCCCCAAGAGCCCCCCAAGAGGCCCAAAATACTCCCAAAGCAACTTAGCACCGCGGCTCCCAAGAGCGAGCGGTGACGTAATCGAGCTGATAAGACCAAAGCTCCCAACAGAGAGCTGCGGCGTAATAAGTTCTTGACGCCAGGGCACAGGGACGGGCGGCAACGCGTGGACAACGAGCGGTCCACGCAAGGAAAACGCGGGGTTCTGGAAAGCTGGCAGCCCAAACGCGGAAAACGCAACGCGACCCGACCGCCCCCTCCAAAACAAGAAACGCGCTCAAAGAAAGCTCCGCGACTCTCCGAGGCTGAGATAGGACAAGAGCTAGGGGAAGGGAGTCAATAAGATGTGTAAGAGCGGACGAGCCAGCGATCTTGTGCGCTCTGAAAGTAAGTGCGCTTTCCGTCCCCGTGCCAAGCAGGTCTAATTGCCTTCGGCCCATCCCGCCACCGTGCCCTGGTTGTTGGTCTGGGGCCTCAGGGATGCTTCTTGGGGTCTCTTCGGAGCGCTCTCGGGGGCCTCTTGGAGCAGTTTGGGGTCCTCTTGGGGGCCTCTTGGGGGTCTCTTGGGAGTCTCTTGGGGCTTCCTGGGGCTTCTTGCGGGCCTCTTGGGGGCCTCTCGGGGCCCAGGGCTCGAAATGTCTGTTCGGGTCCCCCGCCTGGGCCCCCTTGTGAAGCCGTCTTGGGGCCTCATAGGCCGTCTTGGAGGCCTCTTGGGCCGTCGTGGGGCCCTCCTGACGATTGGGTGCCCGCTTTCGGGCCTCTTGGGCCGTCTTGTGGTGATCCTAGGGGCCTGTTGGGCCGTCTTGGAGCGTCGGGAAGCCGAAAAGGCTAGAACGGATAATCACACATCTTTGCTTCTTCGGACCCTCTCGGGAGGCCTCTTGGAGGCTTCTTGGGGCGCTCCTCCTGGGCGTCTTGGAGCGAACTTTCGGCGGCTCGGGGCCCTCTTGGACCGTCTTGGGGGCCTCCAGGGGCCTTCTTGGCCCGTCTTGGGGGCTCCTTTGGTCAGGAGCGAAAGAAGGACGTACGTGTACATGAGCCCACGCTGGTTTCGAGAGCACGCATTGCACAAATGTTCGTATCACGCGGCCGGTCTCGCGAATCGAGGGGCCGTGCTCATGTACATAGCTGGGCGCGTACGTCCTCTGTGGGCCCCCTATTTGGGCCCGAGAGCAGCACGCGAGGAGCCGCCCCGGGCCCCCAGGGGGCCACGCGCGGCGCGCCCACGACGGGGCCGCGCGACGCGCCCCCCCCCCCAGACGATCTCTGGCAGTTTGGGGCCTGGGCCCACGAGCCGAAGCATCCGACCAGGGGCCCGAGGACACTCCAACTCGTGCCTCCTCCTCCTCCTCCTCCTCCTCCTCCTCCTCCTCCTCCTCCCCCAGACGCTCCAACCTCCTCCTCCTCCTCCTCCTCCTCCGCCTCCTCCTCCGCCTCCCTTCTCTTGAGAGACGGGCCCCGCCCTCAAGAGGGCGCCGCCCTCAATCCGACAAGGGGCTCGGTGGCGGATCATCGACTCCGACAAGCAGGCGGACCCCGAGGCGCTGCGGGGCGCCATCCAGGGCTCCTTCGAGTCGGACGCGGGCCTGAAGGCGTGCTGCGTGACCGGCGAGATCACCACCGCGTCGGCGGCACCCGAGGAGCCGGTGGCGCGCGAGGGCGGCAGCCGGGAGGCGCCCAGCCAGGGTCCGTCCACGGCCGTCGTCGTCAGCGCCATAGTCATCGGCTTCTCCGTCATAGGCATCGTCCTGTTCGTGCTCGGGAACGTGGGCGGGGACTACGTGAAGGCCAATGGAGGCCCCGAGTCGCGCTGGCTGCAGAACCCCCCCGACGCCATCGTTGTCCCCGGCGGGGGGCTCAGTAGGGACGGCACGCTGGTGCCCTGGGTGCAGGAACGCCTCCGGAGGGCCAAGCAGATCTACGACGAGGTGAACGCGGTGAAGAAGAAGCAGGGGGTGACCTCCACCACCTACCTCGTGACGATGTGCGAGGGCATCAGGTACAGCCCGCGAGACCCGCGGGGCAACAGGTCGAAGGGGCTGGAGTCCCAGCTCTCCCGCGACTTCTTGAGAAGGGAGGGCGTGAACTCCTCGGATATCATCGCCGACGACCTGAGCCTCGACACCATGGGCAACGCGTATTTCCTCCGCGCGACGCACACAGAAGTCTTCACGGCGAGGACTTTGGTCGTCATCACGAACGAGTTCCACATGAAGCGGACAAAGGCCATATTCAAGAAGGTCTTCGGTTTCCTTTTCGCCTCCTCCGAGCCTGAGCGGATTGACTCTGGGGCGGAGCTTCACTTTCGAGTGCTCTTCGAGCTTTCGTCGCCGTCAGTCCCCTCTGCTCTCCCCCTCCCTCTCCCAACGTCGCGCTGTTTTTTTTTTTTTTTTTTTTTTAAAAAAAAAAGCCGGAAGGTGTTCGGCCTGGCGCCCTTCCCCGAGGGCAACAGCAAGTACACCCTGGAGTTCGAGCCCGTCGGGAACCACAGCATCGAGCCGGCCGCGCTCCAGCGGCGGGCCGACTGGGAGAAGCAGCAGCTCCAGGACTTCGAGCGCGCGGCCGTGGAGTGGTCCACGCTGCACGACGTGCACAGCTTCATCTTCTCGCCCCGCCGGGGCCCGGACGGCGCGTCCCCGCAGCCGCAGCTGCGGGACAGGTCGCCGGAGTCGAGGTAAAAGGGGCCTGCGGCGGTCGGCGCCGCCGCGGCGGCAGCCCCCCCCCCCCTCGTGGGGATCCAGGATCCAGGACGCTCCCACCCCAGAGATCCGACGCTCCAGGAGGAGGAGGAGGAGGAGGAGGAGGAGGAGGAGGAGGAATGGAGCAGACGGTTTCTGGTCCGTGCTCGGCGCCTGGGGGCGTGGAAGAGTTGCTCGGGACGGCAAGCCGGCCTTGGGGAAAAGCGGCCACGACGTGCCCAGACACCCCGGACGTCATATGCTTTTTTCATGGCGTCGGCCCCCAGAGGTCTCGACCCATTCCCCTGGGCCATATTTTCATCGTGACGGTCCCGAGGCCCACCAAGGGCCTCCCGAGGCCGAACACAGCGGCACGCCTCCCGTCATGATTCGGCCAGACGTGAGAGTGACCTTTCGCCGGAGTGACCTTTGCTGCGGGCACAGGTGGGCCCCCGGATGGCCAAACGCGAAGCGGCAGCGGCGGCTACAGCGCTCCTGGATTTGGCCTCCCCGCGGCGACCCCAAAGCCGCGCACCAAAGGTCACTCTTACCCAGGGTCATTATTAAAGTGCCGTTGTTTTATACATGCTCCGCGTGCGGATCATGTATCAAAAGTGCAGGGATTTAGTATTTCAAACAACGATGAGTTCATGCATACATGCATCCATAGATTAATCATGTATGAAAGTCTTATCTTACAGAAAAGTCCTATGTATTAGAAAAACTGCCCTGTACGTGTAGCCGAATAATTCGTTCGTTGCCCGAGGGGGTCTGGGTCTGAGGCCCACGCCTCGAAGAAGTCGGAGCAGCCGGATGTCTGGGCCCCGGGGCCCCCTGCGCCGTCTGCGCCATCCTGCAGCGCGAGCGCCCGCAGGGCGAGGGCAGCCCGGTGCCACCACCGAAGCGCGCCCCTGCAGGTTGCGGCTGCCTGCCTCCTCCTCCTCCTCCTGCTCCTCTTCCTCCTCCTCCTCCTCCTCCTCCTCCTCCTCCTCCTCCTCCTCCTCCTCCTCCTCCTCCTCCTCCTCCTCCTCCTCCCCCCTTGGTGCCTTCGGGCGTGCTGCGCCCATTGGCCCCCAAAGTGGGGCTGAGTTCGTCGGGCGGCGCCGGCCCGGGGTACCCGTGGCCGCCGCCGCCCACGCCCTTGCTGCAGGTTCCCTGCGCAGCCAGTGCGGTGCATCTCACGACGGGGAGGTGGGGAGCGCGCACGTCGCGCGTCCCGCCAGCAGTGCCTCCCATTGCTGGGAGGCCTCCGGCGGCCCTGGCTCGTGAGGCCCACGCCCTTGCCGCGGAACGAGGTAGGCCACATTGCATGGCCACAGCCTTTTGCTTTCGGCAAAGCCGTGCGGAGCCACTTGGTTGATGACTGAGCCGCGGCGCCCCGCGCCTCCGGCTAATGACCCAGAGGGCTCTCAGGCGAGGCCGATACACTTCAGACCGACGCCCGTGGCAAACAGAAGCAGGGTCCCAGGAGGGCCCGAGCGGCTTCCAAGCCCCCCCCCAGAGGGCCAAGTCGGCGTCGCAGGAGGACCCCCGGCTGGCCCAGATCGCACACCGGGCCAAAGCAGGGATGCGTGCTTTGGTGTGCATGCTCGGCGGCGAGCGAGGGGGGAAGTGAGAGGGAGAAGGCCTTCTGGGAAGGCGGCGGGACTTCTCAGAAGCCCTCGCGCATTCTGAAGAGTTCTCTTTGTCTTCGGGGAAGGCTCCGGAAGCTTCTCCGACGGCAAGGGGGGTTCCGAGCCTTCTGGGAAGGCCCGCCCCTTCTCAGTTCCCCCCCCTCGTTTGCAGCATGATTGCGGGTTGGTCGCCGCTCGGAAGGGGGAGGGGTGTATATTATAAAGGAGCAGTGATACGCCCCTCCCCGAAGGGGAGAAGGAGCTGGAAGAGGAAATGCCCTGAACCCGGTACCATCTACGCCCTAAGTACAAACACGCAATACATATAATATTTTGGCGCTCCGCGCGGGTTTCTTGGATCTGCGCTGGACCCCCCTCCCTGGCGCGCGGAGCGCGCCAGGGGCGGCGCCGGAGGTGCCGCCCGGGGGGGTCCAGCGCGGATACAAGGAATCCCCACGGAGCGCCACAGGTTTATGTCCATGGCATTATTTCTTATCATTATTCTTCTTCTTCTTTGACTTAAGGGGCTGCTGGGATACGCATATGCGCGGTACGTCATTGGTCAGTTCATGTTCGGGCTACTTGTGGATACGCTCACATTTGCAGTTGTGCGCCTGTCAAGGGCTGGGCGCTGTCCCTCGGGGGGCAGCAGAGAGTGGGGTTGACCCAAAAGGGGGTCCAGCGACAAGGGGGTGGTGCAATAGATTTGGTGCAATATGTTTGTTGGGTTGCAATACATTTGGGGCGTGCGATACATCCCGCGGCACAAGCGTATTGCTGGATTTTCGCGTGCAATACATTACTTGCAATACACTGCAATATTATTCTCCGGCACCGTAGATCTGCAATACAATTGCCCGAAAACTATTGCACCACCCCCCTTTCAGCTGGACCCCCTTTTGGGTCCCCGAAAGAGAGGGGAGAGGCAGCGTGGACCCTCGGGTCGTGGCCTGCGGAGGCAGCACTGCCCCTCGGGACGTGGCCCAGAGAGGGGGGGGAGGGAGGCAGATTGCCCCTCGGGACGTGGCCTGGAGGGGGGGAGGAGGAGGAGAGCTGGAGAGAAACGAGGATCACGAGGAAGATTGGGAGGAGAGGGAGTCTCGCGGGTTTCGTGCGGAGCTGGTGGTTTTTGGGCCTCAGGAGGCGGAGAAGGAGGAGAAGGACGGCGAGGACGATGACGACCCAGACTGCAGGAGCCCGCCATTCGGTGTCACGCGCGTCAGCGCACGCTAGGCGCAAGCGTCGAATCCCAGTGCAGCGACCTGGGACCATTGGGCCCACTTCCCCCTGTGCCGCCGTGGTCGTCGTCGCCGTTGTCGTCGCTCTCCCCGACAAAAATACGACGGACGTGTCCCCCCACCTGACAGCATTGGGCCTGTTAGACTTGAAGAAAGAGCTCCCGACGCGCCCCGCACACCCTGCATGACGCGGCCGCCAGTCCCAGAATGTTGCTGGTGCTCCCCAGGTGTCCCGCCTCGCGTCTTCGGCGAATGAAGGCGGGGGCCTTGTCTGTGAGTGGACTGCGAGTACTCTTGGCGCGACCGGGAGCGTGTCATACCCCCTGGCGGCTCCCCCTTGGGGGTGCTCAAGTGGCACGCCTGCTAGGTCGCGGTGGCAGGGGCCTGATGGCCCAGCCTGCGCGGGAGCATGCGCATTCGCAGGCCGGGGCCTGTTGCTTAGCTATCGGCGATGTACCGCCGATTCGAGCTTAACCTTTCCCCCCTGAGCCAGCGCCTCCCCGACGCTCTCCCTCGCCCCCTCCCTCCTGCTTCAGGCAATGCATTGCCAAGGTGGTCCCCACTGGGGCAACAGGGGGGGCCACTGCAACCCTTTTTGGATCGAGAACCGAGGAGGAGGGACGATGGAGGATCGACGAGGTAGGGGCCGTTCTTTCGCCATCTTTGGAAGTCCGGGGGGGGGGGTTCTGGGGTGACCAGGCTGGCCCATCTCCTGGCGGAGGTGGCGATCCCCACAGTGCTCCTCCCTCCCCTTCCCCCCCGCTCCTCATTGACGGCAAATAATGGAGGGAAGCGCCATGCTGAGTCTAAAAAGACCAGGATCCCTTCTCCTCACCCTGCAGTTTCACTGTCATCCTTCGGCCTGGGGATGGCAAAAACGCTTCGGTCCCAGGTCCTTCGAGCCCGTGCACACTGTACCCCAATAGTCTGCACAAGTGAGACGAGTGAGCCGCAGGAGGCAGGAGGAGGAGGAGGCGGAGGAGGAGGAGGAGGAGGCGGAGGAGGAGGAGGAGGAGGAGGCGGAGGAGTTGGAGGAGGAGGCGGAGGCGGAGCAGGAGGAGGAGGAGGAGGAGCTCGACCGAGCCTCATCCGCCTGCGCCCGACCGGCCGACCCCCTCCCCTGTCGCAGGTACGGGCGCCCCCTGAAGAGGCGGGGCGTGCACCTGAGCGGCAACCTCGGCCGCCGGCTTCCCGTCATCGAGGCCCCCCCCCCGGAGCGCGCGGGGCCCATCCCAGCTGGAGCGGCGGCGGCGGCACGGGCAGAGTCGAGGAGCCAAGGGGGGGGGGCGGCGGCACGACGAAGCACACGTCCCCCGAAGGAAGCCACGTCGTCTGCGGCGGGCTGCCCGGCGAGGGAAGGAGACCCAGATGGTCTGGCACCGGAAATTTTCGGTAGCGATTTCGACGCACCCCGAATTTCGATAGCGACCGGATCTTCGTTTGAGGGCGTTGAAATAGCGGATTTCAGAACGCTCTGATACCGGTATTGGGCGCTACATTTCGGTATTTCGGTAGCGACCGATCTCTGCGGAGCGCTACCGGAAATTTTCGGTAGCGGACCATCAGGGGAGGGTCGTCTGCACGCCAGAGTGGCCCTTGGCCAGACTGACCTTTGGTGCTGGCCGTGGGTGCCCGCTGCCGTGGTCGCGGCCAGGTCATTCTGTCCAGCGCCCGGCGCATCAGGGGGGGTGTATGGAGCAGGGGTGGTCGAGAACGGAGGAGAGATGGAGGAGGAGGCGTCGGAGTCGGAGTCGGAAGCCTCGGCAGCTGACAGCTATCGGTCGCTCGATGGCTTGGCGTTCGCTTGGCGAAGCGAACTAGTTGCTGCCGGCGCGTTGAATCGGCGGAGCGACGGGGTCGCCTACGGGACCCTTGGCTTTTGAGCCTATCGGCCCGCTGCAGCGCGGGGCCTGTCCATCAAACCAAACATGTTATGGAACTCCAGAAGCTTAGGGCCTGTTGGCCAATCACCTCTGACTCGGGTTACAGCGCCGGTTTTAATATATGCTCCGCGTGCGGAACATGTATTTCAAATAAAGGGATGTTGTATTCAAGCCAATAATGAATTTACGCATTGATTTATAAGTAAATTATTCATGTAGAACAATTTTAGATTTTTGAAACATCCAATTGATTACAACCTGCCCAGTACTCCGCGCAGATCGAGTCGAACTGGTGCTACAACGATCCGCTCCCCCCCGCATCCGAAAGAGACCCAGGGACGGGCACCGCGGGAACAAAGAGACCATCGGCATCTGCTTCTTCGCCAGCGCTTGCTCTACACGATGGAACATGAGCTCGTTCATCATGGCTCACTGCCGTCGGCTGCCTCCCATCCTCCTCGGCAGTTCTCCAGCTCTCTGACTGCCCGATCTCGCTGGCTGTCGAACGCCTGCGAGCTCCATCCCTGCGTCGGCTGCCGCCTGGCTCTTAGGGCGGCTCGGATCTGCCACTGCAAGCCTGATGGCGGGGGCGCTCCGACGATCTGCTCCGCTCCCGCTGCCCGCAGCGTGTTGACGACGGCCCTCCTGATGTCTGCGATCTGAGTGCCCTGCTGGAGCTTGACGGGAGGTTCCTGGTTTCCCTCGCGGATGGGGTTGATTTGGTCCTCCCAGTGCTTGGTCCAAGGGTTGCTGGCTAAGCTGTTGAACATCAGGTGCAGCTTCCAGCGCTCTGGCTGCCCCTGCTCCGCGTAGGCCTTCTTGACCTTGAAGTAGCCCAGAATGTCCACGAAGTGCTGCGTGTCCATGACAGCGATGAGGTATCGGAAGTCCGTCAGAGGATAGCTTTGTGCTCTCCCCCCGCCTTGTCGTTCTGGCCCATCTCCAGGAAGAAGTCTCCTCCTCCTCCTCCTCCTCCTCCTCCTCCTCCTCCCACGTGCAGGTGTGGCGGCCCCATGGTCTTGCCGCCATTCTCCTCGGTGCGTGCCGCGCACGTCGTGCCTGCCTCCACGGCCAGCTTCCACCGCGGGGTGGCCTCCTGGGGCCGGGATGGAGTCCCGCAGGCTGCCTGACAGCTGGCGCATCATCTGCGCGCTGTTGAGCGTGAGCTTCTGCATCATCGTGGTCTCCGCCTCGAAGGACGCGTCGCCGGAGCAAGCTCCTCTGTCGGTGCCCCTCCTCTGCTCTCCAGGTGCGAGCTCGGGCCCGGGGGCCACCGCTGCCGCCGCCGCCTCTGCCGTCTGGCTGCGCGGCCTGCTGCCGCTCGCCGTGGCGCGCCACGCCATCAGCTGGGCCCTGGAAGTGAGTACTTACACGCGTGTATGAGGTGATCTTCGGGAGCCGTGTCCTCGCGGGCGCAATAGCCGCAGGTGCAGAGACTGCCCGCTGCTCGGGCTCAAAGGCAAAGGATGCGGCTCGAGGAGGGCATCGCAGCGTATTGGACTTCGACATGGTGAGAACGTGACGGAGGCAGGACGCTCGACTAGCAAATTATGTGCGGCACTAGGGGCATACGTTTGTCCCTATGATCATCGAATACAGGTTCCTCATGTTGTACGCGTGCGTGATGTGCGCCGTCAGTGCCTTGACCGTGGTGAAAGACATCCCGCACCCGATGCCCTCGCCCTCCCCCCCTGTCCCGTGCGTGCACACGTACTCGTCTATGCTGGTGCTGTCGTCGTCATTGCCGTCGGCGTCGCTGCCATCGTTCGCCTGCACGTCTTCGTAGTTCTCCGTCGTCGTGATGCCGAGCCGCTGTAGTAACCTAGTCACCCGTAGGGCCCCTTCAGGAGATAGTACGTGCCTCACCCTGTCTACCTTTATTATGTTGAACTGCTTGCTTGCCTCGAGGTCTTTGAAAATCCTCAGGGTGTTGTGGCGGTCCCCCCCATATGGTATCGAAGATCGGGTCTACATTCGCTGGGGCCTCGAGATCGCCTCGGAACTGTCGGGCCCAGGGGGTGCTGTGGGCAGTAAGCCCTCCGTCGATATCTAGTCGGGGCTTCTCGAGGAGGCGATCCATTTCGAGGGTCCGAAACATGGCCGCGAGAACTTGTTTGTGTTTTTTTGGCTCCCTGGCGATCTGCTGCCACCACCGCAGTCTCTGTACACGTAGCTCGGTGGCGGTGCAACTGATGTCCCAGTGCTGAAAGACAGCGTTGTTCGTTAATGTCCTGATTCTGCCCTCGTGCTCCGACTTGGCTCTGCCGTGCATCAAGAAACGGAGCATGCGGACAAGCACGGAGTCTAGCTTATCTGTGAACTCCGCTTGGAGGACGAACGCCGTGGGACCTGTGATGGCAGCGCCGTGCACGAACCATAGGAAGAGCGTGCGAAACAACCTGGCGTGGAGCGGCTGCCTCCGTACTTCTCCTGAGGATCTCTGTGCGGCTCGGGCTCCTTTGATGCGGTTCTTCAACTTGGTCCTAAGCATCCCGTCGAAGCTTAGCGTAGGTCCCAGGACACGGACTTCCCGACACACTGCTCTCTGGGCTCGTTTTTGTCGAACAAGCTCCTCGGGCGCTTCAAAGGACCCCTCCCCGTGCAAACTGAGGATGTGGTTGGTCTTGTCTGCGTTCAAGTAGTGGCCGTTCTTCTTGGTGTGTGTCTGCAATGCGTGCGTGGCGTGGTTCAGCTGCACGGTGATGTACCGTGCTCGCGGTGCGCACGCATGCATGTGTACTTTAGAGACGTCGCCAACGGATAGACCAACCCCGATGTTTGCTGTATCCTGTGAAACTGGGCATCGGCCCTTCAGCCATGTGTAGCTCGTGTCTTTGTCTATGAGCTCGTCATTTCACGCAGAAGCTGTCGGCGAGTATACATCGACAAAGTAGCCTGCGGCCAGCGAGTGGCCCATCGTGGTGCCGCTGTGAGGAGGGAAATCAGCGGCGCCGTCGTGGGCTTCTACATGAACTGTTGTTTGCTCGATTGCCTGCTGAAGTAGGTGCACGTTTTCTCGTCGAGCTGTGTGTTCGTGACGTGCTTCAAGGCTATCGCGGTGCGTGCATGCGAAGGCGTTCGAACCGTCGTAGGTGCTAATCGCGTGGCTCAGGTTTGCTTGCCTGCATCTCCATCCTGCTGCTGCTGAGCTCAACATGCACCCTTCTCGTCGTCGTCCCTGGAGTCCTCCGTGGGCAAAATCGGGTGGAGGGGGCCTTCGACTGTTGCCTGAGGCTGTCCAGAGCAGGACATGCCGAACGCGTCGAAACAGTGAAGCACCCTCTGGCCCTGCACCCCTAGCTTCTTGCTGTTTTCTGGCTCTGGGCAGAAGCCTGAGAGCGCATGGTACTGAGCGGCACTGAGCCCGCCGGGCGTGTCAGAGGAGCCAGCAGGTCGTCGCACCGCCTGCCGAAGTGCTCGGGGACACAGTTCCTACCGTGCTCATTCGCGCATCGAAGGATTGCGAAAAAACCTAGGATTGCAAAAAAACCTAGGGTTTTTTTGCAATCCTTTGCAATCCTTCGTCGGCCGATGCACACACACAGGGCCTCTGCGAGCACTCCCCACGCAGGGCCCGCTCGTCGCTCCGGGGCCCGTCGTAGGTAGCTCACCTGCCCAGCCCGATCGCGCCGAACGAGGTCGTGGAGATCTGCTCCACCGTACGCGTGGGGCAAGAAGGCGCGGTCGCTGATCCAGTCCTGCCGGACGATTCTGTCGCTCTGCACGCCGCCCTCCTGTGGTAGCCGTCCCAGTCCCTCTGTCCAGCGCTGCACCGTCATGCTTTGTCTCGGCGCAATTCGATAGTGCTTCGTGGGCCCACGGCCTGTGTTGGCAAGTGCCACCCTGAGCCGATATAGCTCTGCAAACCGGTGTCGTCGCCAAGCCTTGCCAATCTGTTCTGCCAATCTCTAGGTTTTTTCCGTCTTTTGTTGCTTCCGAATGCTCTGCAGGCGTTTCGATAACTGCTTTAGCTGCGATTGCATCTCGTCGATCCTGGCGGATCCGTTGCCATCGACAGATTGGCTGCCTGTGTGGTGGGCCTCTGCTCGGAGGTTCGAGCGTTCTGCTAGCAATTGGACTCGCTGCTGTCGCAATCCCTCGTAGTCCACGATGGCCTGCTCTTGTTTAGGAAACGTCTCCTGCATCGCCTCACGAATGTTACTTGCCAATCTGTCCCACCATTTTTGAACGTTCCCTTGGTCCCAGACTTGTCGCCATTCATGTTCGGGTATCCGTTGTGTCTTCTCTTCGGCTCGCTGATAAAAACTCTCATCTCTTGCAACCCTTGGAGTACGCCATCATCATTAGGTCACGGTTGGCGGCTGGCGTGAGCTGGGCCTGGTGCGCCTTGCTGATGTGGATGGTCGTGTAGGTGGGTGGATACGTGCAGCTGAAGTCGCCGCGCCAGGCCGAGAAGTGGATGGAGTTGTCGAATGCGGTCCTTCGTGGCGGCGGGCAACGCTATGTGATCTATCTTGCTCTGGTGCGCTCCTTTGTAGTACGTGGGCCCCGTTCGCCAGAATGTGTCCGCCATCCCGAGAAAGTTGCCCTCCAAGAAATCCCGCGCGATCTGGCTGGTGTGATTCTCGGGTGCGGGCTCCGCGGTGCCCACTGCGTCGGTCTCCCTGATGTGCTTGCGCCCTGTAACGCCCGTGCGGATGCCGAACGCGCAGTTGTAGTCCCCCAGCGCGATAGGCAAGCAGTTGTGTCCTGGCTTGTCGAGCTCCTGCTGCACCGACTCGAGAATGCTGTGGATGATTCTCTCGTGCGCGGCGACGGTGAGGCCTCTGGGCGGCAGGTCGATCGGGACGATCTCTACACTCGTGGTCCCCACCGGCAAGACTGCCATCACGTGCTCGTCCTGGGATGCCTCGCTGTGTGGGCGGGTAGGCTATGAGCTGCACCTTGCTGTGGACCCGTTGGCGCACCATGACCGCTATGCCGCACGAATGGTTGACGCCCACGGCTTATCCTCCAGCCGAGCTGTACGCATCGGTGGTTCGGCAGCCGGCACTGGGTGGCGTCGACGTCGCGAGCTGCCCTGCCTGTGCCGATAGCCACCTAGATGTCAGTGTTAGCCGTCTGCTGTGACATGTTCCCCCAGGCGGTTGAAGCCCGCCCACTGCACATTGTGATGTGCAGGTCTCATCTTCTGTACACACTCATGGCACGCACAAGAATTATCCCAGTGCGACCCTACCTAGGAGTTGGAGCCCCTAGGAAAGCAGCATTAGTAGTAACAGTGAAGCTAAAGCTAAGCCAAAGCTAAGCTAAAGCTAAGCTAAAGCTACGCTAAAGCTAAGCTAAAGCTAAGCTAAAGCTAAGCTAAAGCTAAGCTAAAGCTAAGCTAAAGCTAAGCTGAAGCTAAGCTGAAGCTAAGCTAAAGCTGAGCTAAAGCTGAGCTACAGTTAAGCTAAAGCTAAGCTAAAACTAAGCTAAATATAAGCTGAAGCTAAGCTAAAACTAAGCCAACGCTAAGCTAAATCTAAGCTAAAGTTAAGCTAAGTCTACGCTAAAGCTAAGTTAAAGCTAAGCTAAAGCTAAGCTGAAGCTAAGCTAAAGCTAAAGCTAAGCTAAAGCTAAAGCTAAGGCTAAGTTGAAGCTAAGCTAAAGCTAAGCTAAAGCTGAGCTAAAGCTTAGCTAAAGCTAAGCTACATCTAGGCTAAAGCTAAGCTACAGCTAAGCTGGAGCTAAGCTGAAGCTAAGCTAAAGCTAAGGTGCAGCTAAGCTAAAGCTAAGCTAACTCTAAGCTAAAACTAAGCTACAGCTAAGCTAAAGCTAAGCTAAAACTAAGCTAAAGCTAAGCTAAAGCTACGCTAAAGCTAAGCTGAAGCTAAGCTGAAGCTAAGCTGAAGCTAAGCTGAAGGTAAGCTAAAGCTAAGCTAAAGCTAAGCTGGAGCTAAGCTGGAGCTAAGCTAAAGCTAAGCTAAAGCTAAGCTAACGTTAAACTAAGGCTAAGTTAAAGCTAAGCTAAAGCTAAGCTAAAGCCAAGCTAAAACTAAGTTAAAGCTAAGCCAAAGCTAAGCTAAAGCTAAGCTAAAGCTAAAGCTAAAGCTAAAGCTATAGCTAAAGCTCCCAGGGGACTGGGGGAACCGCGGGGCGGGGACTGGGGGAACCGCCCGCGGCGTGGTGCACTGCCCGGCCCTTTTAAGCTAAGAGAGTAAGAACCTTCTAGGCAGAGCCTAGGTAGGGAACAAAGCTAAAGCTAAGCTAAAGCTAAGCTAACGCTAAGGTAAAGCTAAGCTCAAGCTAAGCTAAAGCTACGGTAGAGCTAAGCTAAAGCTAAGCTAACGCTAAGCTAAAGCTAAGCTAGCACTAAGCTGAAGCTAAGCTAAATCACAGCTAAAGCTGCGCTAAAGCTAAGCTAAAGCTAAGCTAAAACTAAGCTAAAGCTAAGCTAGAACCAAGCTAAAGCTAAAGCTAAAGCTAAAGCTCCCCAGGGGCTGGGGGAACCGCTCCCAGGGGGACTGGGGGAACCGCCCGGGGCGAGTTGCACTGCCCGGCCCCTTTAAGAAAGAGGGTAAGAACCCTCTATGCAGAGCCTAGGTAGGGGGAGGAGGAGGAGGAGGAGGAGGAGGAGGAGGAGGAGGAGGAGGAGGAGAAGGTAGGGAATCAACAGCAAGAAAAACGAGCGGGGTACGGTAACGGACTGCGGAGTGGGGTTTCTCGTCGCCGCCCGAGCGGCCCCGTTCCCACGAATCAGAGTCCGTGGTGATCGTGGTTGGGAGTGGGCCGCTCGCGGGTGCCTGGGCCGTGGCGGCGGCTGGAGGAGGAGGAGGAGGAGGAGGAGGAGGAGGAGGAGGAGGGGGAGAAAGGGACGAGGAGAAGCAGGAGGATGTAGAGCCAGAGTGGATAATGGAGGAAGCGAGGGGGGTTGGAGGTGATGAGGGGGATCAGGAGCAACAGAGTGGAGGATTATCATGATGATGCGTAAGCAGGAGGAGGAAGAGGAGGAGGAAAAGGAGGACCAGTGTGAACCAAAGACGCGTCAACGATGCTGCAACAATCCCACCCTCCCAATTACATCTCCGAGGTCCCTACAAGATGTTGGCATCATTACGGGAGGTGCCCCCGTTCGAAGACCGCCGCGAATCTAAGAGTCTGTTGCGTCCTGACAACCCCAAGGCGTGCCAGAACACTGTTTGGGGGATTTCAGCGCCGCGAATCAACGTGACTGTCGCGCCCTGACTATCCTAAATCGTGCCAGGCACCATCCCTGGGACTTGAACCGTACGAATCCTTGGAGCTGCTGCAGACTGTTCCAACGAATGTGCGCGGCCCCGAGGCGAGAGCCACGTGTTCGAAAGGCGCCGCCCTCAATGCGTGAAACTTCTTCAGACTTCGGACGGATGTCGCGGCGCCAAGGCGAGAACCACAGTTGGAGAATCGGCCGCCCTCCATATTTGAAGCCGTCGCAGAACTTTGGGATGCGCCTGCGCATAGCTGCAGCGGGCGCCACGTTTTGAAAACGGGCCGACCTCCATCGCAAATCGAGTTCCAGGATCATAAGTGGTGAGGAAGTTTCGGGCGAAACGCCCAGCCTGCCCGAGCGACACGTCTGGGGTGCGACAGGGCGGGGTTTTCCCACATGGCACAGCATGTAGCGGAAGGGTGTTGTGGTGGAAGAGGAGGAGGTGGAGGAGGATGGTGGGGAGGAGGAGAAGGAGGAGGAGAAGGAGGATGAGGAGGAACAGCAGGCGAAGGAGAGCGAAGGTGGGCAACTCATTTTGGTTCCCACTGGTTTCCCATGGCCAGTGGATTCGGACTCCTTGGGGCCGGAGCGGCAGATGCAACCAGGGGTAAATGCGGCGAGGGCTGGTCATGGCTTCAGGCGTACCACATTGAGGGGGGCAGCCAGTCTTTATTGCCCCTAGCTGCAAGCAGCGTGCGACAGGATGACGAGGAGGAAGAGGAGGAGGGGCGTGGAGCAGGAGGAGGATGAGGAGGAGGACCAGTGTGAACCCAATGCGCATCAACGATGTTGCAGTAAACCCTCCCTTCAAACTTCTTCATCGGTCTCTACGGATGCTTTGTTTTCACTGCTGAGCCTGACCCATTGGAAGACAACCGTCTGAACATCTCCATTGTTTGTCAAAGCGCCGTTCTGGAGACTTCAAGGCCGAGAATCAACGCGTCTGTTGCGCGCTGACGGTCTTAAATCGTGCCAGAGCACCACTGTTGGGTCGTCAACGCCTCGAATCAACGTGATTGTTTCTTACTGGCAACAGAAAGTCGTGCCAGAGAACACCCTCCCTGGGATTTCAAACTTACGAACACTTGAAGCGACTGCAAAGTGTTCTGACGAATGTGCGCGGCGACACAGCGAGAACCAAACGCCTAAAACAGAGCCGATACCCATCTTTGACAGACGAAAGCGCGCGGCGCTAAGGCGAGATCACATGTTGAAGACGGCCCGCTTTCCATCCTTGCAACTGTCGTAGAGTTCCACGACTTACATGTGATGGCTACATTTTGAAAACGAGCCGCCCTCCCTCTTTGAAGCCCTTGCAGTTGTTTAGCACGGATCTGCGTGGTGCTACGGTGAGAGCCACATTTAGAAAAGGGTCCTTTTGAGACGAATGTGCGTGTCGCTAGGGGGAGAACCACATTTTGAAGACGACCTGTTGCACATTCTGGGCTACAGGATCATCAACAGTGAGGAAGTCTCAGGCGAAGCGCCTGGCTCGCCCTACCGACGCGCCTGTGGGTGTGACAGGGAAGACCTTCTGATATAAGGGCAAAAAGGACGGAGGAAGAGAAGGAGGAGGAGGAGGAGGTGAAGGAGGAGAAGGACGGGGTGGAGGAGGAGGAGGAGTGAGAATGGTTCTCCCGTTCGTTCCGCCACCGCCTCGCCCGTTTCCCCCTCCCCAGCGTGCCTGCGGAGGCGGACGCCCAGAGGTGCGCGCAGCTCGTTTTCAACCTGGTTGTCAACGCCCTCCAGGCGACGCACACAGGCCTCCTGGCCCCGACCCCTCCACCTCCCCCAACGCCTCGCCTCTATGGGGTTTCAGGGGAGTAGCACCTACCCTGGAGAGCTTTCGTTGCCACGGCTGTACAATACTCGGAGTTTTTTCTACGACGAACCCTCGATGTTACAGCACTCGAAGGATGAATGGATCCCCTCGGAGGCGTCAGCGTGGGCGAGAAATTTTGTGCCACTGAGAATCGACAAACTTTGCAGCGACTCTGGCCAATCGCTGCAGCGAGTGCTGAAATCCCTTCACTGACCTGGCACACACCACAACTCCAGGCAAACAAGTCAATCCCAGAATCAAGCCGTAGATAGACCGATGAAGCATTCGAGGATGACCGGGTTGGAGAGGTTCACGCAGTGCCCAGCTGTGAATGCGAGAATCAACTGGGAATCCGTACCTCTCCATATGACTTCTGAATGGCCCAAAGAAAGAAGCAAAAGACGCCGGCGCCTTCCCCCATGACACCTTGTAGAGAAGACCAAGCATGGCGATGTCGCGCCGCCTAACCAGTGGGCCCGAATTGTGTTGAAGTAGTGCTTGTTTTGGTGTCAAGCCCACGCCTTCTAGGAAGGTGTCTTGCAATCCGTCGAGATCGCGAAGGGTTCCTTCAGCAGCGTGGTATACAGCCAGAGTGATCCCATCAACGTACGATAACAAGTGACACTTACGCAAACGCTTCAATTCTCGGCGGCGAGCGAGGGGGGGGCAGAGAGAAGGAGAAGGTTTTCTCAGAAGGTTCGGAAGCCCCCCAGCCTTCTGAGAAGTTTTCTAAGCCTTCCCCGAAGACACAAACAACGTCTCAGAAGGTGCGATGGCTGCTGAGAAGTCTCGCCGCCTTCTGAGAAAGCCTTCTCCTTCTCCTTTCCCCCCTCGCTCGCCACCGAAACTCAGCAGTCGAGTAAAACTGCGTTGTCCGAAGTAGCGCCTGGAACCTCCAAGCGCCCGCAGCAACGAAGAGAAGCACAGCTTGATACGTTGACAATCTGGTGTCGCAGAGTACCCTGAGCAGCTTGAAAGAAGCGCCGTCCGGCGAGACGGCGTCCAGAATGTGGAGGCTCTCCTTGCCCGGCTCGAAGATGACCTGGTTAGCGGCTCCCCACCTGTCGAGAGCAGCTTGGCATTCCGCAGAACCGCCGTTGATGCCGCAATTGACACACGCACCAGGATCTATTCGCCAGCAATTGAGGTACTTTGCGACAGCGGTATCCACAAAGCCGACGGCATTGATTGCTGTGTGGGCATCTGAACAACATGTGCTCCCCAAAGGGGAGGACCAGGCACTGTCCTCTGATTCAGAGACAGGAAAGACCTTCAAATTCACTGAATCGCCTCCCAAAGGGAATGACAGGGCTGCAAGCGGAAGACTGTATGTGCCAACCTGGAAAAACTTCCCACGCCAGGCTATTCGCCTGCGTGGCAGTGCGGGGCGCCGCGGCTCTTATTCGGACACCGGGACAGGCCGACAAAGAAACGCGGGCCAGGCAAGGGGCAGAAACGAGCAAGAGAGCGAGGAGCCGAGGAGCGAGAAGGGGAGGGGGAGAGGGAGGGAGGACGACAGGAAAGGACAGACCGGGCCGACAGACGGACGGACAGGGGACGGGGGGACAGGGATAGGGGAGCCAAGCGGAAGGGAAAGGGAGAGCACACACCACACAAGGGCAAGGAAGCACAAGGGCGAGGGAGGACACGGAGAGAGAGGGGGAGGGGAGAGGAGGGAAGAAGGAGGAGCCAGGGGCCGGGGCCAAGGCAAAGAAGAAGGAAAGCGGGCCGAAAAGCACACCGGTGCGTCAGCGCATCACGAAAATTGCCGGCTTCCCTCTCGACGGGAGAGAAGCTCCACAGAGCAGCCAGGCCTGGAGGGAGAAGGAGGAGGAAGGAGGAGGCAGGGGAGTGGCCTACAATGAGCCCTCATCTTCCTCTGCCAGAACGTCCCTGGCCGCTTCGACTGCTCCTGAGGCAGGGGCCTCCTCCACCTGCCGCCGGAGGATGGCGCGGGCGGACGCCCTCCGGATGGCCACCGACAGCTGCTGGAAAAGGCGCGTCGCCCCGGAACCCGGCTCCTCGCCCAGGCGCGCGTCGCTGGCCCTCGCCAGGAGACGGAGCGTCGCAGCCCCCGTCGGGCCCCAGCCACCCGTTGGCTCTGCGACCAAGGGGATGAAGAGCAAGCCCTGTTGTCTGCAGAGAGCCTCTGTGTCGAGGTGGGTGCGCTTGACCACCTCGTACGCCTCGGCGGCGCTTCCAACCCCTTGGAAAGCCATGCCCCGGGCAGCCTTCCGATGCGGTGACGAGACCGCAAAGTCGAAAGCGGCAGGCGCGCCTAGGTGCCAGCTCGGGATGTACACGTCGGCGGGGCGGCGCCCGAAGGCGCGGTCGTCGCCCGGGCGCGGCGGCAGGAGCCCCGGCCTCTCCAGCTCCGGGTTGCAGCCGGCAGCGGCGGCGAATCGCCCGACCAAGTTGCGCGCGGCGTTGTGCCGGCAAACCCGGTCCCCCGCGCCCGCGCAGAGGCCCGCGTGTCGCCCGTGCCGGTCGCAAGGCTCGTCGCAACAGGGGCAGAAGTGGTCCGCGTCGTAGACCGGCAGCAGAAGCCGGCTCCTCAGTTCGGTGAGGAACTCTTCCGGCTCGACAAGCAGCCCCAGCTTCTCGTTGGGCGCCACTTCCAGGAAACCCGACGCGCCGGGGAGCAGCTCGGACTGGATGTCCGCGCGGTCGGCTGCCCCGAGGTTCTCCAGAAAGTGTCGGTGCCAGTAGTTGTCGAGCGCGGCGGAGAGGTCCTTCTGCTTGGCCGTCTCGAGAGCGCCCGGGCGCAGGCCGGCGGACTGCGGGAGCTGCGCGTTGTGCGCAGAGAGAGCAGCTCCAGCCCGCGTGCCCGCATCCTCCGGTGCCCAGCTGTACGCCGGGTCCAGCTCCGAGCACAGGCGCCGCGTGGCGCCGAGGCTCGCCAGGTAGGCGCCCGCCGCGTGCGCTTCCAGCCGCCGCAAGCCCAGGCCGGCGTACGCCAGACCCCTGGAGGCCTGGTGCCATTGGGCGTCTGTCAGGTCCGCGGCCAGTAAGCCCCCCAGGGCAGCCCGCTGCGCGGCGTCGAAACTTCGGAGGGCGCCAGCCTGCAGTTCCGGCGGCGCGGTGCGCGCGCAGTAGACCAGTTTGCCAAAGCTCGCGCAGTGCCGGAGAAGAAGGAGGGCAACCTGCGGGTGCAGGGTCTCCAGCGCCGCCAAGGTCGGCCCCACCTTAGTAGCCCGTCGCTCAGTGAAGGCCTCGGTGAAGACCTGGTCCCCGATCGGCGCGCCGAGGAGCCGAAAACCGCCTCGCTGGACAACTCGGTCGGCGCCGGTGTCGGGATCCGTCAGCAGAGGCGCGGGGAAAAGTCGATCCAGGCCCTCCGGCTTCTGCCCTCCAGGCACCACGAGCTCGCACTTGCCCAAGTTGAGTGCAAGCCCCGGCGCTGGGCAGCGCACTTGCAGGGTAGCGAGCGCTCGCGCCACGGCCTCTGCTGTGCCTGCCAGGAAGCCGTCGTCCAAGTAGAAAGCTTTCAGGTCCAGCTCCCGGTCCCTTGCCAATTCCTCCAACACTGGGTGCACGGCCAGAGAGAAGAACAGGGGGCCCAATGGGTCGCCCTGCTGGATGCCAGCTTGGGAGGACAACGCGTGCGCGCCGAAACGCAGGTGCGAGTGTTCCGCGTACGTCCAGCGCGCCCACCGCTCCAGCTCGGGGAAGCGGTCGCCGACGGCTCGCAGCACCTCGCCGCGCCGCAACGTGTTGAAGGCGCTCGCGAAATCCAGCTTGAGTAGGACCTTGTTGCCCGGAGTGCTGTTGCGTTCACACCACTGGCGCACGGCGTGCACGGTTGCCTCTGCACCCAGCGGGCTGCAGCAGCCTGTCTGCAGCGGCCAGAGCGTCTGCCGGGCCCTGCTCTTCACATGTTCGCACAGGACCTTGCTCGTGAGGCGGCGGAGCACCTCACCGACTGCGATTGGCCGGACACCGCCGTCCTCCTTTTCCAGCGCCACCAAGCTGGCCCCAGCAAAATGCGGCGCCAGCTGTTGGGGCGCTTCTCCATTCGCCAGCAGGTGTCCAACGGCAGCGAGCTGCTCGCAAACTGTCGCACGAGTGGCGGGTGTGAGAGCGTCCAGCAGGCGTTGGGCTCGAAGTCCAGAAGGGCCTGGGGCGGTGCCTTTTGGGAAAGCGCGCAAGGCCTTGAGCACGGCGTTGGGCGCGAGCTCTGGCGCGGCCAGGAGCGAGTCCAGGTGCCCGAGCGGCTCGGCAGGCGCCCTCGGGTGCAGTCGTTCGAGGGCCAGCACCGTCTCCCTTGTCTGTTCGGCCAGACCTTGGGCCGTCAGGGCCGCGCACCCTTTGGCCAGAAGGCCCTCTGCGGCGTAGGCCGTGGCGCGCGCTGCCCGTAGTTGGGCCGTGGGCGGGCCGGCTGGCCGACGACGTCGGCCAGGCTGCGCGTCGCACGCCTCCTGCCAGAGCGACTGTCGCTCGCCCGCCTCCCAGCGCGCGAGTCGTTTCAACGTGAACGCCGCGAGGGCCGATTCGTGGTCGCGGCCAGTGCGCGGGGGCACGCTGAGGATAGTTTTGGCCAACATCTGCAAGTCCGTCCAAGCAGCCACCGAGTTGTGCGCCACCACACCCGCAAGGCAGCGAGTGAGCGCGCGGGACCAGGCGGCCCGGGCACGCTTGGGGACGTACCGGAGGGTAGGCACGCTCGCGGCGTGGACGCTCGCCAGGGACGGGCGGCCCTCCCCAACCCCTCTGCCGGCGGCCGCGTGGACTGGCTGCGGCGCGGCGGCCACCCAGAGGGCTGCGCGGTCCGCTGGGCGGCACGCGGGGTGCACTCCCCGATTGGCCCCCACGCTGAGGCCGCAGACTCGGCATCGAGCGCGGCCGTGCCGGCGAAGCCACTCGGGATCCACCTGGCCGGCGAGCTGCCCGCTGAGGTGCGCGTCCAAGTGGCGATGGAGGCCTTGAGCGTTGGCCCAACC